TCAAATATTTAAAAAAAAATGTATTTAAAATACTATTTGAATACTTTTCATACAAAAGTATTTGAGTAATACTCAATTACTTTACAAAAGTATTTCAAATACTAAGAATACAATTAAAAAATAATAATAATGTTTTTATTTTAACTAAGAGCAAAAGGTTCCACCTAAATAATTACCAAGAGGGTAATTTGAGTCAAATATTGAGTACTCTTAAATTAAGAGAACTCATTTATTATTTTCGATATTTTTTGTTAGAGGTAAATAAAATTAATTATTGGAGACTAATCAGTGAAAAAAATAAATATTAGTACACGTGTAAAAACCTGTAAAGTATGTCTTATTGACAATAGAGTAAATCATTTGAACCTGCAATAGGCTATTGTAGGTTCAACTGATGTATTAAAAATAGATGTATACATAATAGCATTTAGATAAGCACAATAATTATGTTATACTATAATGTAACATATAAAATAACAGAGAATTATTCTCAATTTTCATTTTGACTGATTTAATTTGCTTGCTGTGTTACGGTTAGCAAATTAAAAAAAAAAAGTATATTAATAGTACTGAATATTAAACAGTATTAAATACTAAATAATTGTATTTAAAATACTACTCAGATACTTTTTATTAAATGTATTTAAAAATACTATTCAATACCAATGAAAGTATTTGAATACTTTTATTCAAATACATTTACTCAAATGCTTTACGCCTTTGGATATATACAATCTAATTAAAATTTTTCTCCGTATTTATTTCTCAAATATTTTTTCAACATATTTTTATATCAAAAATATAATAGGTTAACACAGATATAACTTTTCATTCAATAATATTTTACATAAATTTATTTTTAAATTCTTTAAAGAATTAAAGATTTAAGACATAATAACAAACATAACGTACCATATTTATTTAAAAAAAAAGTAAAAATTATGAAAAATTTAAAAAAAAATACTTCAGGTGAGCCATTTTGTATAGAAGATTTTATTAAAAAATTTGGTAAAAAAAATCTTATTAATGTTCAGTAATAAAATATCTAATGCATATTAAAGTTTATTACTCATTATTAAATATTAAATTTATTATAAATGTGTCATATAGAAATGTAAGTACGATCATATTTTATTTTTAGGTGAGTTATGTAAAACCAAAGATATTTACACAATGTTATATAAATTCAACGATGATTATGTCAAACAAATCAGTGAATTCGGAGATAAAAGTGCAGCCATTGATGATGAAATTAGAAACAAAATAGTTAGGCATAAAAAACATCCTGAAATAATTATACACAATAGTAATAGATGCGAATTATATAATTACAATTTTTATCCTAAATACTTGATAGATTACATATTGTACATATAAATTATATCAATTTGTATATTTATTAATAAATATGCAGATTTTACTTGATAGTTAGATTACCTATTGTTGTCTATTATTAGCTTATAAACTTATAACAATTTATCTACTTCCATACTCAACCGCCAGACTATAAGTAGTTGGGATAAAAGTGAGCAAAAAGAAGATCTATTTCAAAAATTTAAAGAAAAAGGTAATTTTTGATATTGTTTTAATATACAAAAAAATCCTTATGTTATACTATAATATTGGCCGACGTCGGCGGGCTGTCTGAGGGACTGTTCGATTTCAGAAGGGCCAAAACTGAGCAGGGCTTTGGGGTGGTGGTGACACAAGTTTAAGACACAGTTATAACAAAGTTTAGCATACAATATATTTTACATTTATCGATATGGATATTAAAAGAGTTTTACAATTTTATTATTATTCCAAAAACTAATGTTGATTAAATTTCTTCCGATGGAATGGCATAATGACCGTAAGCCAGGGTTTCAACTCTGTTGTCGAGCGTGTAGCGCTTATCGTCGAAACGGTTAAGCGCCAACTTGGTTGTACGTAAAGTGCGTACCTCGTGTTCGAAAGAACGAATTGACACGTTCTGTCGGTACGGAATGTACGGTACTGATAATGTCGGTGGAATCTCACCATCACGTACGGCTCCGATGACTACACGGGCATTGTCTCCGGCTAACGCTCGTTTTGACCCATCGTCACCATCGTCGCCATCGTCTTCAAACAAACATCGTTTGTAATCATCCAAAGACAGATGGTTCCGGACGACATGTCCGCGACTCCCCTTAGACTTGATGAATTCGCTGCCTTCTATGTCAAATGCATAGCACTTTGAACGAAATGCAGCAATCTCAAAGAGAGTGAGGTCACTGGTCTCGTCTGAAAACAAGCCAGGCGTCTTCTTCCTCGAGGTCGAGTAACAAGGGTGATCCTTGGGCAGGCTAGATGCGTCCACGTACACCAGTAAATCGGGGCTGTCGGCTAAATCCTGGTAGAAGTCGCTGACTCTGAGCAGGTATATGAAGGAGTCTGAGAAAAATTAAAAATATATAAATATTGTAAAAATATTTCTACTGTACGGTTGTACTCACCAGTATCCATGTAAACCAGGCTAATTGCGTCGCCATAATGAGGTTTTAATACGTCGTAGAAGTACTTGTACATTAGCGACTTGCTTATGTCAAGCACTGCTAAACCGACNATGTCAAATGCATAGCACTTTGAACGAAGTGCAGCGATCTCAAAGAGGGTGAGGCCGCCGATCTCATCTGAATACAGACCAGGCGTCTTCCTCGAGGTCGAGTAACAAGGGTGATCCTTGGGCAGGCTAGATGCGTCCACGTGCACCAGTAAATCGGGGCTGTCTGCTAAATCCTGGTAGAAGTCGCTGACTCTGAGCAGGTATATGAAGGATTCTGAGAAAAATTAAAAATATATAAATATTGTAAAAATATTTCTACTGTACGGTTATACTCACCAGTATCCATGTAAACCAGGCTGATTGCGTCGCCATAATGAGGTTTTAATACGTCGTAGAAGTACTTGTACATTAGCGACTTGCTAATGTCAAGCACTGCTAAACCGACGTATATTGGTTTGAGAAACTTGACAATCTTTGTGTCCATNAACGTATATTGGTTTGATAAACTTGACAATCTTTGTGTCCATTATGACAGCGCACAACCTTTTGCCGTATTTGATACAATCGTTGAAGGTTGGTTGGTTTACGAGCTTGCTTAGACGTTCAGGACTGGAGATTAGTTCAATGCGGATGCGTTTCCGCATGTTCTTCATGGTTTTCCCTATAAAATGTAAAAAATTATCGAATAACCAACTTTAGCATTGAGCACTTACTTACCAAAGACGGCATTATTCATTAGTTTGAAAAATTCTATTTCAAAAGCATTTGCCACCTGTTTCCGTATTTCAGTGGTCAACTCAATGTACAGTTTCAACCAAGCACTTTGTTGAAACTCTAAAACGTGGTGCACCTGTGTGACAAGCATATTAATATCATAGCTAATAGCTCTAGGTACGATGTATATACTTTATCGACTTGCAGTCCGTGTGCGATCGCCTGTTTCAAGTTGACATAGTGTACGACGTACCGTTGTTTGGGTTTCAAAGTGGCCATGAGTTTGGTCTCTTTGGAACCCGGCGGTACATCGTTGCCAGGCAAGAACGGCAAGTCATTGCGCTCGTCATGCAACTCTTCTGGAAACGATACATCTACTTCATATATTCGCCCCGTATTACCAGTGTCCGGTTGAGCAATCGAAACGGTTCCACACCTCCGTGGCATGTCTATAGTCGTCATCATCGATATTCGACTCATTCAACTGACTATAGAAAGCGTCGCGGGGTGGTAGTACCATTTCGTCTAATTTAACCCAACCATCAGTGTACTCGTAAGGGCATACGCCCTTACGCGTTACCAACGGCATGTCTTCCAGGCGGAACACCTTGGCCGTCTCCCGGAATTTAACGAAATCGGGTGTCATTAGGTTACCGGCCAAGGTGGAAAGGGATGAGGCCATGAACCGGAAGGTGTCGATAAACCGTATGGAGAAGTTATTGGCCACGTGTTTCGTGACCGAAATATACTTCTCCTCGGAATTCGGTATAACCGAAATCTTTTGGTCGTCGTACCCCAATTCAGTGACGATGAAATGCGCGTCGTAATCCGAAATATTGTGCAAGAAGCACGGCACAAAGTTGACCGTCTTCACTTTCAGGTTACACGCATTGCACAACGTCTGTCTGAATCGGCCCGATAGATGGCAGTGGTCTGCGACTTTGGAGTTGGAATCCTTGAATGCCGTGCAGCACAAGTCACATACCACTATCTCCCCATGCCTGCGCACATCATCGACAGACATTCGAATGGGGACGTTAGTTTTACGCAACAATTTGGAAATGTTGCGCGTCACTTCCGTTACAGCCATTACGAATGCCTTGGCTACCTCTTCGCGATCCTCAGACCCACGGTATATCAACGGTGATTGCGGTATAACGTAGCGTTCGAGGAGCTCGGAAGGCACATCGTTCGATGTTTTCACCATGAACCCGTAGCTCATGGGATGGTGTGTGTGCACAGTCCTAGTATAGGTACCTATACGATCGTTTGTTTGCTCCAGCAAGGCCAAAAAATTGGCATAGATGACAAACGGTAGCCGTTGCGTCTTTACCCACGCGTCAAATTTGACCTTACAACCCTCTGTCGGCATAACGGGTAAAATTGGTTTATTCTTACCGCATATAAACTTGTGTTGCTCCAACGCTTGTTGACCTCTAAGAATATGTTTTTTAGGCATATCTTTGAAGCTGGTGAAGCAACGTTTGCAAGTGTATATGTGGTATTTGTGTTGAGTTTTTTGGCTGCGCTCAATCCTCGAAAAATCTGAAATGTACGCGTAATGATACTCGTCAGAGTCACCGATGTACAGGTCAAAATGACTTTGTTGCTCTTGGTCGGCGACTCTTAGTGGATACACCGACCACTTCATCTTAACATCGTCCCGATCCAAGCCGTAAACGTTGACGGACACGTTAGGGTCCAAAAAAATATCGTTCAAATATTTTAATTTGGGACACAGGTGTGGGGAAAGTCAATCCTATGAAATCATACCTGTGTTACTCGTTAAAATATTTTTGATTAACACGCGTATTATTATTAACCCCAACGTGTTTCGCCAAAATGGCCCACTTGAAACAGGACTGATCGATGTTTTGTGGGTTGATGATTGCTCTTCTATGGTTAATTTCAGGTGGGACTGGAATATATGATCAGCCGGCGAGGGGCGTATACTTGTATACGCTGAGCATGAGTCCGTCGATATGCGCTAGCGTGAATCTGCTACCCCTACCCCCTACCCGTGTACACGTCTTCCTCAGCGAGCATAATCTCGAAATCGTCATTGACCGCACCTACAATGTCCGTGTCGGACAACAACACCCTAGCCCGTGCCTTGAAGGCACAGTCCTTGGGCGGTGCTTCCGATCGTGATATATGGTAAGAAGCCTCCAATTTGAGATAATATTTAATAGGCCGAACAGCTGCGATTCCACCAAGTTTGGGAACCAGCTCAGATTTAACAATACGTAGAAAATCTCGATAGCTCGCGAATTTTTCCACGTTTTTCCGATAAAACCAAACGGCTCCCCTCTCCAATGCGGAATCAATATCGATGAAATTTTTCGCGTCCGGCAATTGTATACGCAACCTTTTCAATTTTATCTTACTGTTGTTAGCCTTACGTTTAACCGAATGATGGTGTAGAGCAGTCGTGGAAGAGGTGTCTATGGAAAAATGTGTATAAAACAATTTGTGTATCGAAATATTCAAACAAAAATATAAAAACTTACCTTGTGCAGCACCAGTAAAATGTACATTAGCCATTGTTATTCGATTTTAAATTTAAATAAAATTAATACTAGTACTTGTATACGTTTAATAGAATATTTTTAAGCAAAGTTTTAGCGAACATATATTAATGCTTAATCAAAGAGTGAAAAAAATCTTTAGTTATGTCCTTATAATTACGGTTTGTTACTGTATTATCCGCTGCACCAGTGTCGATAAATTAAATCGTTATATATAATAGCGTGGAAAAATTCAGTGTAATGTAATGTGTAATGTTTATACATATTTATCATTAGGAATTAAAACAGTTGTCTTTATCAAAATTATGACCTTCTGCCGTCTCAAATGCGTTGACGGAACAAGAATGCAATCTGTCCAGTCGAGACTATTACTTAATTAAAAATAATTAATTAAAGTTGTTAAATACAGTAATTATTTATAACATTGAGAGGGATACGAGTAATAATTCAGACAAAAATATGTATGACATTAATCGATAAGTGTATTACAATTATAATAATAATATTATAATCATTAGAATATATGTTCCAGCAATTATTATCGTCGTCGTCGTTGTCGTTGTCGGCGGCGGTAGTAGTAGTGTTTATTTAAAAATGTGTTTTGCTATAAGAAAACTCTAACAGTCGTCATTATTATATATTGTTGACAAAAAAAAAAAATACTGATTTATTATTCACTATATCAATAACGGTCAAACTTATAGATCGTATATTAACAATTAATATAATTGACGGCGACATCGCCGCCGCGTTAAGCCATCTGCTGTATAACTCGAGTGCTATAGTATAAAAATATATAATCATCAATACAGCCATCTGGCACACAATGTTTCGAACTTATTTTTTTTACAAATTAGGTAAAATTAACATTTTACGTACAGACTTTATCTAAATATATGCATGTCGCATATCAAAATAGTGGATTCGACGTTTAAAATTCATACTTTTCACCGTAACCGTATAGCTTACCTGGAAAATGCATTTTTTTTTTTCGTCAAAAAACCGATATTACGTATATACTATATGGCCGAGCAAAATTTAGGCGCGCGACAAGTTGTGTTAGTTAACGTCGTGTTTCATTACCCCCTATCATAAGACTTGGTGGAAGAGGAGAGGTTCCTCACCTGCCTTAGGTTAGTTTACGTTGGGTTTCAACGTTCCCTCTCCCATTGCATTATGTTAGTTTACGTTGGATTTATTCCNTGTCATCGCGTTCCCCTCCCATTTCATTATGTTAGTTTACGTTGGATTTATTCCCCCTCCACACCTCTTCACCCACAGCACATGCGGTGTTGTGGGTGGGTAAAGCGGGGTGAACCAAAATTCCCTATATTACCCTACTATCAAAGGTTGATATATATGTACCATGGTGTAACAAAACGCTATCTAGGAACGAGCAACATCGATCTTTCACCATATCCCCCCAGTCGTTTACATCTCCCGTCTACCTATGGCAGGGTAAACCCACATTATGTGTGTTAGGGGGGAGTCAGCTCATATATTACATACTTACATAAATGAAGTAAAGAATCAGAAAAATTAAGTGATCACTAGAATAAAATATTGTTTAAATAAATAAAATCGATAACGTTCATACGAAGTTAATCATTTTAGTCGAAATTTTAGGTGGGTTACCAGTGTGGTTAAAACAAATAAAGACTTTCTTGTTAAGATAGTGCACCCACTTGTTCCTAACAAGTTATTATATTATATTTAACACAAGCTTGAATAACTACAGGTACAAGTGGCGTTATTGATACTTAAAGTATGATAATTAATCACAATAATTTCTATTTCAAATTATTATTATATTAATAAATTTTTAGGCATCACTTTCTTTGTTTTTCTATATTTTAAATTTTCTCATAAACCCACCGTACTCATACATTGAGAGAAAATTATATTGATTCTTGTTTATTATTTAATAATCACCTAGTAACTCAATTACTCTCATACCCATACAAGACTACCCAGTAACGAGACTCATTCATGATAAAGAGGAAGGAAAATTATCAATCCCTTCGACGTCAGTGTCATTGTACAATGTACATAGTTTATTCTTTCAACTTTTATTATTTTATTTGTGATTTTTATGTCTCTATATTAATATGGGCATTCAATTGAGAACTGTTTTGTTATTAATTTGTTGATGACTATTAAGGTACGTTATTTAATAATTATAATTATATAATTCATACATATTATATTATATATAAGTATATCAATTATATATTTTATATATAATTGATAAACCCTAGAACTTACATGACATCAAGTATAATAGTAAGACAAAAAGTAAATCAACTAAGACACAACGGGTAACAACGTTAACATAACACAACATTGTCATACGATTGCATTACACTACTTTAACCATACTCTAGGGTATTTCATGATTTTTTTTTGAGTTATTAAAATGATTCCATTTCAAATCATCACATTGCATAAACCCTTCTTTTAGCTTATAACAAATTTTAATGTGTAATACATAAATAATTATAAAAGTTATAAAAGTTGTTCAAATTTATAATGGTTAAGTTTTTAGGCCACTCATATATACTATTTAGACATTTTTGTTTTAAAACGTGAAGTATTTTTATTTTTTTGGTGTAAAATTATTAGGTAAACAATACTATGTTATAGCATCTTTGAGTTTTTATCACATGTTTGGCATCGAAATTTGGTATAGAATTTCTTGTAATTTTTCATTAGTTGAAGTTACTTTTTTCATTATATTATTGTGTTGTCTATGTTTTACACTAAATTTGAAACAACACTTGATGTTGTGCATGAAATAAATTTTAATAAAAGAAAACAATTTTATTTGGTTAAATAATTGTTCATTATTTTACACATAAATCTAAAATGTAAAATGTAAATAGTAACCAGAACTTTTAGCATTACTATACGGATTTGATTTTTGTCATATCTTTA